GGTTGAGAACTAAGGGGATGCTCCGGGTGGGTTGTTGTTCCCCCTGTTGAGTGCAAGAGCCAGAATGGGGCTAGTGGTCTGGTCTGGACATGGCTACAGTATACCTTGGTATGGGTGTGGACTGGGTCTGGTGTACACCAGACTGAGCTAGACTCTAGTGCCCATTGGTCTCATGAGAGCCAGAATGGGTGTAGGATGTACTGGGCTAGGTTTCTGCCCCCATTGGGTCATGTGAGAGCTGTGTCAGGGTGTGGACTAGGTGTGGCTGGGCTGTAACACTCAACAGTAAGAACTGAATTGGGTATAGGCCAGTTGGGCAATACTATTATTCCTGCCAGGACAGGAGGTGGACTAAGCCAGCCTGGTATGTGCGAAATCTGCCACTAGGAGGCCCAATAAGGAGCTTGGGGAACTCCTTTGTCAGGGCACAGTCCCTGCAGGTATATATAAGAACCAAAGCAAGGAGCAGGCCACATTACAATACCTGCCAGCATAACTGTGGCTCAGGTATGGGGGCGGGCCAGGCTAGGCCTGTTCATGAGATTCATGGGTAGATCTGAGAACCAGGATGAGGTGCAGGACTGTCTGGTTCTGGCCACATCACCAGCCAGTTCACATTAGGACTGGGACTGGGGGCTGACTGTGCTGGGTTGGGCTGCAGCACCTGCCAGTGCTAGCTGGAACAGGGGCAGACTGGGCTAGGCCAGGCCACAGCATGCTCTGGCAAGTGCTGAGGTGAGATGGGCCATACCAGATTGGGCCATAGCACCCACCAGCACATGCAAGTAGTTAGGACTCCCCTGCTGGACCACTGCTCCTGCTGGTGAGCGTCAGAGTTGGGACTGGGGGCAGACCAGGCTGGGCAGGGCTATAACACCTGTTGACCTGCATGTGAACTGGGTTAGGGGAGAACCAGGCTGGGCTAACTGATTATATCCACTGGTATAGGTGGGTTGGGCTTTGCCACAGCATCAGCTGGCAAGTGCTGGGACTGGGGGCAAATCTTGTCAAGCTGGACTGCAGAACCACCTAGAATGTGCAAGATCCTGGGCAGGGAATGGGTTCGGGGGGAGGCTGTGGGTACCTCTATGATGGGCTGCAACTCCCACTCGTGAGCATGAGAACCAGGATTGTGGGCTGGCCTGGCTGGACAGGTGGTCATACCCACTGGCATGAGTGTAGGTTGGAGGGTGGAGTCAGTTGGGTCGAGTTAGGCTTCAATGTCCAGTGAGTATATGAGAACTGAATAGGATGTAGGACAGATTGGACCAGTCAGATTGGACATGCTGGCAGGCAGAGGAATCAGGGATGAGAGCCGATCTAGTAGGGGTTAGTGTGGGTCACTCTGACTGGGCTACAGCTCCTCCTACTGTACGTGAGGGCCAAGCGTGTGGTGGGCAGGGTTGGGCTGAGCCACAGCACCCATTGGTTTGCAGAGGAAGGAGGGCAGAACTTGATCAACTACTCCAGTGAAGCTTGACAGCAAACTTCTGCATGAATGGAGACTCAGTGCTGGACTATGTCAGCCAATTGATTTTGGGAGGATTTCCTCATCCTTGGAGCAGCAAAGTCTACAGCATCTCAGAATTAACAAAATCACTTGAGTGGAGTTGTCAGAAAGTGCTCCACAACAGGGACTCTGGGATGACATCAGGTACTGGGGAGGCTGGGCGTGGTCTCTCCTGTAGTATCCTCCCCTACACCAGATACAGGAAGAAGAAAATGTGTAAACAGTGGTGTTACCCACTTTCCCCTGATCCTAATCAACTATGTAAATATAATCAAAAATAAAATTAAAAAAAAGAAAAGAAAGAATGGTATATCACCCCTGATGTTTGTATTGGTCACACTTTCTCTATCATCGACTCTGGGGGAAGCCATCTGCCATGTCGTGAGAACACTCCAGTAGATTTGGAGAGAAGCGCATGTGGTGAGTAATGAAAAGAGTTCAGAGCCACAGAAGCCGGTGGAGAAGCCCCAGATGACTGTGGGGCCAAGTGCCATCTTAACTGTAAGCATAAGAGATGCTAAGCTGAGCTGCTTCTCAATTCCTGAGCCTCACAAGCCATAAGATAACAAGTGCCTGCTGTTTGCAGTCATTATATTTTGGGCCACTAATACATCCTTTGCCAACATGCTTTCTGCTCACTTAGGAGTAGGAAGTCGACCTGACCCTGAATCTAGATGATGCCATTTTAGCAACTCACTCCATTACAAGGCCTTAGAGGGGTTTTGATAGGCCTTGGCAATGCCACATGACACAACTTGACTTAAGGAGAGCAAAGCAAAATGACTGACCCCAGGCGCTTTCCTACTATCCAGGAGACAGGGTTGGCCCGAAGCTAGTGTGACCCCAAACTCTGTACCAGCATGTCCTGACAGACCATGGGCGCTTCATAGTTTTTCTGGACTTCAGTTTCTTTATATACATGACAGCTAAAATACTACCTGCTTGTGTAGTTAAAAGGGGTAGAAAGGGTGTGAATTCTACGGGAAAAAGTTCAACTTGCACCACAGCTTCTAGACAATAACATGATCTTCTTCATTACCATTGTTGGCATTACCGCTTTCAACTCAGCCAGGTGGGGTGGTGGTGGTACAAAGTGTTTGGGTTTGTGTCATGCTTTAGGTCCTTGGTATCAAACATGCACAGGCTTGGGGAGTCTTAAAGCATCTACCATAAGAAGCCAGATGGACAGCACAGATGTGTAAGTCAGCTTGTGGAAGGGGTCGGGGGGGGGGAAGTGTGGATAATTGGATAGTCACAGCAAACTGGGGAAATCACTTTCTTCCTGCAAATATTTTAAAGCACTACAAGGGGCCAAGCAACCAAATCTGCCTGCTTGTGCTTGATCCACCAGTCATCAGGTTGTATCAGTTTCTGTATCTAGTCCCTCGAGCAGAAAAATGCTGAGGAGACTATAAGTATTTGGAGAATTTAAGCCTCACTCTTCCCTTCAAGGATGCTGGAAGGTTCTGTGTCTTTCTCACACATCATTCATTCAATCCAGAAACATTTATTTAGTACTGAATAGAGACCACATACTACTCCAATCCCATTGTGCCAAATGCTGTACATTAGAGCTTTCTATTTTGCACCTAACTAAGTTTAGGGTATTTGAATCACTACTGTATTTGCAGGTAATGCAGAGCCTCTATTTTAAGAAATGAGTTCAAGTCCCAAATCCACAAATAAAGAATTATTATAATGATAACATATTCATGAAAAGCAAATTACTTATCTTGGCGTTTAACATCCTTGTAACTATTCCTGTACTTTTAATGTCAACAGAAAAAAAGTAATGTCTAAGTCTGGCTGATATGGTAAATTAATGTTAATAACAGTTTTGACACTAATAGCAAGTTTTAAAAAGAAAAACCTCCACTCTCTAGGCTGAGTCTCATTTCTTAAGAATCACCTCAGCTTGCTGTCACCAGACTCCCCAATAACAATTCCAGCTACTACTTCGCCTGCACTGGGAGCCTGAAACAACTCGGGTCTATCAAGTCTCTATGAAATTACACCCTTTCCCTGCTTTTGCTCACACCAGGCAGAGAAAACATCCACCCCTTGAGTTACAATACCAGCGCTCCTCAGCTCAGACGCATTTCTAAATCTGTAAGCAAATGAATACTTATATGACTTCATTAAAAACCACTAGCTGAACCACCACCAGGGCCTGAAAATCAGTTGTGAAAATGTGAACTATTGAAACACATGTTAGATCATATGGGAACTTTCAGACTGTTATGGAGACTAGGGGACGAGGGCTGTCATAGTACTGTGTGTAGGCAAGGATGTTAACACAGACCCCACCACAGTGCCTGAGATGCACATTTTTCCAGGCCTAAGGAAAATGAAAATGGGGCCAGTGCAGGCGTCCTTCACTCTTGCCAGCTTCTTTAAGTCATTGAAGGCTCAAGCCATCCTTGCAAACCTCCCACCCACTTCAGACTTAGCCAGTAGATAGGAAATGGTTGCCTATCTTGCTCACCTCTGCAATCACTTTGGAGGTCACTAGGCTTACAGAAAAGCACTCATCTAACTTGCCAAACGCTGTTCTTTTTGTATTACTAATGAATGTTGTACTTTGGTTGATCATGTAATGAATGGGCTCAAGTGAACAGAGATAGCAGCAACAACCCATCAATAAAATAATTAGGTCGAAGTGGATTTTGCCAGAAAGTTCTTATAACAGGAAATCTAGGCCACTTAAGGAAATCAAATGAAATCATTTCTTTTTGCTTTAAAAGGAAAATTGCCTGTGAAAGTATTTAATTCACAGTATTGGCCATTTGCTTAGGAAGGGCATGTACAATAGAAGTAGCAGTGGAGAGCAAGGTAGTTTCCACAACTTTCTTTTCCCCTTTCATGGTTAGCATGACGAACTGTCTCTAGAACTTAGGCAAGGAAACCCTCTACATTATTTCTCCAAATTTTAAGGTTTGGAGTGGTGCCTTATCCCAACATTTGTATGCTGTGCAATTGGAGAAAATCAGGGCTGATGGGCACATATGAAGGGCAGAATGCTACCTCTTCATGTTCTTTCAGCCATTGAAAGAGCAGCGTTCCTGACAACAAAAGCTATACAAGGCAGCTATAGTTCTTACGCATTCTCCTTCCTGAAGCATGGCCTCCCCAAGAGCCCATTGGCCTTGTCTGGAACGCAGACCCCTCCCCATGCTGCCATTGATCTACTTCACCCCAATCCCCAGCTAACCAACAGACATTCAGTGCTTACTCAATGGCTTTCCAACTCTGGATGAGAAACTGAAGAATTCTGAGACAGGGCCTGGGTTCAGGTACTATGGGGTGCCAAGCTGAGGGGTAAAGCAGTAACTCAATAAGGAAGTGACACGAACTTGAACTCATGCAACATGATGCTCAAAGCAGAGGCCCTGTAGTAAACTCAGATAAGGGACAGTCTTGAGTGGCTCCAAGAACAGAAAGAAAACTGCAAACAACCATCACTGTGGGGCCAAGTGAGATCATTACATACCCATGCTCCATCTGGCCCAAACAGTTCTAGGAAGTTGCCAATAAATTCCCTTGACTTCTCTTCCCACTTTTGAATTAGATCATGACTCTTTTCTTCCACTCTGTTCACAAATTCCTTTGATCTTTCCTCCACATTCTTGACCTTTTCCTTCATCTTGTCCACCTGGTTCTGGAAGCGGTACTTCTTCTCCTGGTCAAAATTTTTAGAAGAAGAAAACCGATTCATGTAAGAGGGCATGAAAGAGATGGATCATTCACACTGATGGGCAAATTTTATTTCAATTTGTGTTTGTTTATAACCTGAAGAGTCAGAATGTTGTTATTTCCCAAGGGCTAGATCAATGGTAAGGCATGTATCTTGTAGAAGAAATCATTTGTTATTCATCTATTTGAATATGTAGGGGGGGGTACAAGTGGCTTGAATATTTTCTTCTGAATGTCTTCAAATTGAATTCATGTATACAAGAGTAAAAAAAAAATACTTAGCTACCCAATATTATCAGTAGATACTGGGCCAATGCCACCAGTGAATTCTGCTAGGACTTTGATAAAAGCATGGATTATACACTGAAGGACTGTGCAGAAGCTAGCTGAGTTCTGTTTTACCTGAGTGTTGTTCAAACTAATATTGCTTCGAAGAAGTGGGCCATGACTGAGTCTTAGACTGTATGGGTTATAGTAAAATTGTCATTGTCATACTATTTGGCAATATGCTAGTTGAAGTGCATTGATCTCCTATGTGATGAAGACTGCTTTCACTCTGATGGCTCCTTTTGGATTTGGGTTTTGTTCTCTGCAAGGCCTTCGTGCTGCAGTGCTGTTTCTGTAGTTGGAAACCATAATGTCAGGCAAGCTGGACATCACCTCTGTCAGACAAGATAATGCATGTCACGTGTTTGGCACAAAGCCTGGCATTTAGCAAACGGTCAGTTGGTGTTGGCTGTTTCATTATTTAGGGGCAGAAACATTTGCCTGTGTTACCTAATGGGAGTGGTATGGAAATCACACGGGAGAAAGGGTCTCCCTCCATGAAACCATGCTTATGTTTTCTCTGAAAGGAGCAGTAAGAGTTATCATTCCTCTCTACAACACAGATCTAAAGTTCACTTCATACTTCCAAACTTTCTGAGGCCTTGGAATGTTGCAAAATTGGGCCACAGTTTTCTGGTTCAAACCTTCCAGAGCTCATGGCAGCCTCAGGGTCAGGTGGGGCTGTGTGTGTGGCCACTTGCCCATATGCACACAAAAATGTGCTATCTGCGGGAAGTCACTCTGTCTTCCATGACCTACTGTGTGACTTTAGGTGAGCTGTTCTATCTCTCTTGGTGTCTCTTTCCTCATCTCTGTGTTGGATATAGTCATTATACACATGACTATATGCTCATGAGGATTAAAGGTGAGAAAGCAAGTAAAACAATTAGATGGCGCAAGACATGTGTCAGCTGTTGTCTTTGTGCCACTCTCTCCAATAGTTTATTCTGCCTGGCAGTAGTGATTCTGTAAAGCTCTCAGGGCAGCATAGAAAAATATTGTGAGCACTGGGCTGGGAGTCTTGAAAACCAGGAGCCTCCTAGTGCTCCCAGTCCAACCTTACTTGAGGGGTCTTGGAAAGGCTGCTTCTTTGGCTCAGCTTTCTTTTCTAAATCAAGGGCCTTAAATTGGGTGACTGACCCCATCAGGTCCCTGGCATTTCTGAGCTCCCATGATTCATCCACACGCCCCTCCAAACACATTCAATTTCATCTCTGAGCTGCAACTAGGTTTGTTGTCACAGTAAGGCAGTGAGCGCATCCGGTCTGTGCACGGTTCCTTGAGCTAAGTGGCTTATCTAAAGAGCATTTAAAGAGAGAGCATTAACTTTTGGAAATGGCTCAACATGCGTGGATGGTTGACTGAATTCAATTTAAAAGAACAGACAGTTTAATTTATTGAAATAACCAGGGCTTTATCTTCTACGAGATAGCAAATAATCACTTTGACGGAATTCTTTTCAGCCACTTGCTCTGGTGCCACTGGAACCTGACATTTTCCATTTTGTTGCCCGGCTTGTACAAAGCCACAGAGCCTGAACCCCCGGCATCCTCTGCCTCAGGGATACAATTAATAAGCATGAGGTTTACAATTAAGAAACTTCTCCTATTTTGAAAGTATCATTATTGCAACTGTGTGATGGTAGATAATGATGGGTGCACGTAGTACTAAGCACCTTGTTTTGTAGACAAAACTTTGGGTTTTATTTAAGGAATTGCATTTTTTTTTTCCTGTTAAGGTTGCTGGTGAGCATCTATAGGGCCTTCATCAAATGAACCTTTACAAGCATTGAAAGAAAGCATTTTCTCTGGAGTGTATTTGCCCCACCCTCTTTCCCTCCCTTTGAATGGTAGGTAAGTTTTGCCTTTCCCAAGGGACAGATTTTCCAAGCAAAAACACTTCGTGAAGTCTGAAAAGTCTAACGTGACAGGTTGGGGTAAAGGGAGGGAACCGAGGAGGCTTTTTGTTGTAAGATGTGAAGCTCACTGCCTCTGTTCCTTGATTAGGTTATGCTACCCCTTTGGACACCAGCCTCCTCATCCGTAACACACTGGCTTGTTGTATGAGTGAAACGCAACAGCATGTTCAGAACACAGTGTAGCACATAGTGGTGTTCAGGGCTGGTAGTGGTAGTGTGGCGCGGTGGGCCCCCAAGGCTGTGGGGTGGCATGCTTACATTTATAAAGCTGACATTCAGTTCCTTGGCTGTGTAGCCTCGCTGGAGGTTGCGTCGAGCATAGACATCATAGTCACGGACTATTCTGGTGATAATGTCCGATGTTGAGATGCCCTCTGTTCTCTGTGTTGGGACGAACATTCCTGATTGGGAAAGAAAGAGGAGACAAGAAGATAAATCTAAGGCCACCTTAACTGACCCATTTCCTTAAGTAGTCCCTTTTCCAGAACAAAACTGAGACTTGTAGGTGTGCCAAGGAGGCCTTCATGTCTGGCCTCAGATGCCTCCTTCAGCCTTAGTTGCACGCATGCACTCTGTTCATGTGTGGTACTCATGCTAAGCCCTTCCTTTCTGCCTCAGGTACTCCTTCCTCGACTAAAACTCCTTTTCATTAAGTTCCAACTTCAAGATTGTACCTCCCAGAAGTCTTTTCTAACATCAACAGACAGAAGCCATAACATTTGAGACATACACTTGTGTTCCATCAACAAAGTACCTTTTAGTATCTGCCTCCATGTAGCAAGTAAGCACCCTGAACACACAGATTATGCCTTAATGGTTTTTGCATCTCTGGCACCCAGTTCTGTGCCCCTGTATCCACCCAGCATAAGGAAGGCGCTCAACAAATGCAAAATGAATGAGTAAATGAATGAAGAGCAACAACTGAGTCAGTAAATTAGTCAGCTCATGGCAACTCCCCTTCTTTCCCCAAAGAAGTCTGAGTCACAGTAAATCAAAAGCGAAGAAGAAAAAGTGCATTATTTTTGGTGTCTCTTATCCAAACACATGCCCACAGGGGCATGATTCCATCTCGGTAAGATAAGAACAATCTAGTCAGCTTGGTGGTCTCACCTAGTAGATGCAGGACTGAGTAAAAATAAACAAACATACAAGATGCCAAGTTCTATAGGACTTCCCAGTACGGAGACTAAAAAGAGACCATAAATATTAACAGAGACAAGGTTTAGGTTTATGTTTATCCTTCTCTTATCGACTGACATGACCTGTTGGCAAGTGAGATCTTTCTTCCCAGCATGCTGGACAGAGTCTGGGGACCAAGACTCTGGGTTCTCAGTTTATAGCAGGGGCCAGCCACTCAGATCTTATCCCTGAGTGAGAAACAAGGCTGGACAAGATAACATAGGCTGCATCTGTGCCATTTCTCTCTCTCTCTCTCTCTCTCTCTCTCTCTCTCTCCCTCTCTCCCTCCCTCCCTCCCTCCCTCTCTCCCTTAGCCAATCCATTTCCAATCACCAACTGCTTAAATATTTACCTATCCCACCCACTTTTCTCCACCTGCCTGCTTCAACCCACATAACAGGCTATACAGAGCAAACTTTCTAAAAGCAGGTCAAATGTTGCTCAAAACTTCTCAAATGCCTTTCAAACTACTCTCTGGGTAGGGAGTCAATGCCTTAATTTGGTTCTGTGTTTGCTGGCATGATCTCTTCACTGTGCTTCTCTTTGTTCTCAGCTCAGGCCCTCTGACCTGCGTAGTGTACCCCACCCTTTGTCAGTGTGGAAATGCTGATGGGCTGGTTCCAGCCAGGAGGCTCTGGAGAGCATCTGCACCTTGATGGTAGGGCAGATTGGGGAGATTTCTGGTGAGGATTTTTCCTTGAGCAGGTATTTCAGCCACATCCCTGCCTGCTGCAATTTTAAGAGCTGCTTTACCCACTAGGGAATCATTTATACATCAGTGATATGAGCTTACCTATTCCTGCAGTAGGAAAATGAGGTCTCTGTGGTTGAGTAACTGAGAGCAGATTTGGGGGGTAAAGCGAGATCACTTTGGCTGGCTGTGAGCTAAGTCTCAGGCCAAGCCCTCTGCTGACATAATGAGGTACCCAGATTCCTCCAAATCCTAATTATTGCTCTGCTAAAAATATTCAGTAATGAGCATGATCGGAGAACCATTTTTATCATGCTTTTCAGAATTGCGGCGTTTGGTTACAGGGCTATTTTAGGAAGCAGCAAAGCACATGTTAATGGAGGAAACATTCCACAGTAGTAGGCAATATTAGAATGATGATGACTGATGTGGACCTTACAGTCTATTTGATTTATGTTTCATGTCTTCCTCCAGCACTGCTAGAGGATTTTGACATGCACTTTTGACAAAAAGAGCCAAATGTTGTAAAGCTTGATTCATGCCCTCAATATTGCTGGCTTCATTTAAAGTGACTTTCAAAACAAACATGATCAGAGTATAAAAGCCAAACATGGACACATGAGGCATCTCTGAGCATCCTTCTCCCACACTGATCGCTGCACTTGCCTACCTGGGACAGGAACAGCTCGTTACCATGTCCATCCTTCCGGGTGAGTGACAGTGGTACAGGTCAGTGGAGCAAAGGAATGGTTCTTGTGCCTGTGAGTGGGATGTCTCTGCTCCCAGGGCAAGTCAAACACCACCAGACTGTGGTGAATTCGAGATAATCCCAGGTCCCCACCCCTCGAAGCTGAGCTGGCCTCCGTGACTTAGCTGACCATACCCAAGGAAATAGGCCATGATACCATGTCAACATTGCTTGTTCTCCAACCACCATATTATGAGATGCCCGAGCAACACAAAGAAGCCACTTGTAGGTACTGCAGTGACAACTGCTGCTGAGCTCTCTACTGAAAGCCAGCATCTGAGGCCAGCCACACACCATTTGGGAACCACAACCCAGGTGGACCTGCAGATGACTGCAGTCTTGCCAACAACCATTTGAGAGACCTGAAATGAGAATTGCCCAACTAAGACCTTGCTAAAATCCTGCCCTGCAAAATCATGGGTTGAAGAATTGGTTCTTTGAAATCTCTAATGTTGGAAGTCATTTTGTCATGTAACAATAGAACAGGCCTACTGGATTATTGGGGTTAGGAAAATATCGGGCCTGTTTCTTATACCTAAACAACCTGAACTTGACATTTCCTTCCCTCAGAGGACGAGAGCAGTGTGTTCTCAGCTCACTAGAGGCCACCCACTCAGAGAGAAAAGCACCTCAAAACACTTATTCTTCCAAGGATAAGGGCACCCAAGAATTGTTACTCTTGGGACACACTGATTCAATCAGACCTCAAGCAAACTTGGCTCTACCAGAATAAGCTCTTTAGGATAGAACCTATTAGATTCTTGGGGATCTTAATGAAATCTGTGAACCTGTACCATCTAACCACAAAGCAGCTCATCAGAAATAGGAATTGCAGGCCCTCTCAGAGCTACTAAATCCAAATCAGAGTTTTCACAGTATCTTGCAGATGGTGTGCAGCCGCAACGAAGCACTGGCCTCTACTAGGTCTTTAAGACAGTATTCCAGAAAGGGCTGCTGGCTCGCAGCTTAGATCTTACAAAAGCTTTAAAAAGATAGGAATCACCAAATGCCATAGCCAGAGTGATGCAACTGGTGCAGCAGCCACTGGCTTCTCTCCCTCTCAGCACCCTTTTCCTCAGTTTCTCAGTGGCCTTCCAAGTCATGAAGTGGGCAGGGCTTCTTTTCTTGGAATCCCTTGCCAACAGGATTGGGATTTAAGAAGGTCAGCTCTCCCCTTCTTGTCTAATGCTCCTGAGTCTTGGGGGAAAACACTGGTCAGTACAAACCCGAGTACCAGTCCTGCCGGGGCGGCACAGAGCTTTCCTGGGGAAAAGTACATTCTATGTAGGAGAATCATTTTCCGGTCCATTACCTAATGCTGTTTCTATTGTTAAGGATCTTGTCTGTTTGGAGGTTTACTTCCCACTGACAGAGATGTGCATAACCTCAGGAGAAAGTAGGCGTAGCTGAAAATGCAGGAAACTGTGTTCAGCTAGGGACTTCTAGAACTGGCTTTTCTAAGGCTGGTTGGGAGTAGAGGAGTGGAGAATGGCATGGATTTTCCTTGTTAGAGCCAGGCTCTCGGGAGTGCAACGAGGACTGTGGAAATCCCAGACGTGCCCCTGGCACTGTTAAGAAGCCGACTCAGGATGTAGAGCACTTGAGTGTGGCACCTAGGTGGGGAAGGCGTCACGTTGATGAAAGCATGGTGGCATTCTCTGGGAAGAAGGGAGCCCTCCAGGAGCTGAGGCAGGGAACTCAGAGAGGCATCAGGAAGCGAACAGCAGATGTGAAAGAACAGGAGTGGGCTGTGCCCTCATCCCCACTCAGGTGCATATCTCAGGGGCAGGGGGTGGAGAGGGAACGGAGCTCTCTAGAACATCCCCACAGGGGCACTGGTACCCTGCGTCCTGCCAGGAGCTTTGGGAAAGACTTACTGATAGCACTCCTGCTACCAGAGTGCAGTGGCTGGTTCTAGGTCATGTGCTGGTCACAAGCACCTTGACCTACCAGTTCTCCCCGCCCCCCCACCTTTCCCTCTGCACACCCTACATACGCTGCATTAGCCTTTTCGTTTTCTCCAAATGTGCATACTATCTTCCTGCCTTTGGATACACCTCCCTGGCTGGCTGTGCAGATCCCACTGGCACAGCCATACTGCATGAAGGCTCTTCAAAAAGGTTGTGGAAATATGGGTAATGAAAAAACTACGCATGGATTTTTGGAAATATCTGCACTAAAATGAACTCATTGAATTCCATTCACCATGACCTTTTTGAAGCTTCCTCCTGTTTTGGTGAACTTACTTTTTCCATCTCATCTCACTTACTCTCTCAAGGGTGAGGCCAGTATTCTATTTGAATTTGTATCTGATTTTCCCTCAGAGATTTCCTGGTTTGTGGATGCACTTAAGGGATTCAATGACAGGCAAAACCATTCAAAGAGAGTGGGCCTCTTATGCAGCAGTAAGATGCCACTTGGGACTCCCACTCTGAGAGTGCCTGATACCTGGTTTGAGCCTCAGCTACTCTGCTTCTGATCCAGCTTCCTGTTAATGCCCCTAGGAGGCTTCAGAAAGTGGTTTAAGTATTTGAGTCCCTGCCACCCACATGGGAGACCTGGTTGGAGTTCCAGGATCCTGGCGTTAGCCTGATCCAGCTCCAGGTGTTGTAAGCATTTTCAGAAGAAACCAGCAGTGGGAAGCTTTTTCTTTCACTGTATGCCTTCCAGGTAGAAATAAATAAATAAGTAAACATATTTAAACTTAAAACAATCCAGAGGTAGACTGGGCTTCCTTGGGAGGCGAGGAGTTCCCCATCATAAGAGCTGTCCTACCAGGAGCTGCACTCTGCTCGTGATGTTGAGGAGGGAAGAACCTGGGTTAGCTACCCTTAGCCACTCAGGAGCAGCAGGCTGACAGTGAGGAATGGCAGGGGCAAATGAGAGGAGGTCCATCAGTCCCTGGGAGTAGGGAGATGGCACTGGTGGCAGATGGCAGCAGCGGGTCAGCTCTAGCATAGTGTGGCATGGATTAGACTTCTCAAAATTCCTAAGCCCTTGGTAATTCACTGAACCAGAGTACCTGTGCCATGCCAGAAAACAGTTTAACTGTGCCTAGGAAGGTATGGATGGCTGCACCTATGATGACAACCCCAGAGATTGGTGGGAGAATGTAAAATAGCAGAAACTAAGCCAAGCCATCACAACAGGTATCCATGCACTTTACCGCCACATGTAGTACCTAAGGATGTTCCCTGGCACATGACAACATGACACTAAAAGTAGGGCCAGGCTGACTTTGGTGCCAAAGAGTCCAGATCAATAACTAGTCAGTCATCTGTCTTCTGGAAGGAAGTTTCTTGTATGTAAGCAGTAGAGTCCTGTGGTTTGAGTCTAATAAGCTTAAACTGGAGCATGGTGTCTGAAGTTGAGTGCTCTGGCGCTCAGGTTCAGTCCTGTACAAATATCTAATTGATATCTTTTACCGCAAATGCACCTTAGCACATGTCAGCAGAGGCCTGCAGAGATTGCTTGGGGGATTTCTGACATCCCAATGCCCTATATGGATTGAGCTGCAGCCCTAGGGTACAGTGCCTCTAATTCAAACTTGGTGTGAATCCCAACCAGTGGGTAAAAGTTGATTAGAGGGGAAAAACTTACCTGCTTCCTTGATATGCTTGTAAACATCATCAGAGCCAGCTGATGAATATGGAATGTCATCATGGGCCACAAAGTCAATCTGTTGAAGAGAAAGCAGAGTGATGCTGACCCTGGCAGGATGTGCATGTCTGCAGATCTGAAGGGGACTGGGGACTCCCAACTATCACTACAGACTAACCCAAACACATGTTAACATAGTGCAGAGCGGAGTCCTGGACTGAACCAGTGGCTTCCATTTCCATGGGATAGCGGCAACTAGAGAAGAACCGGTTGCTCTATCTGCTCTTCTGGTCCCTCTTTCTTCCTCCTCCCTCTGACAGGCTTTGTTGCCCCCTCTCTTCTGCCTCTAGGCTTTCTCTTTAGGAAACTTACTCTGTACCAATCTTATTCTCTCTTGCAGAACCCAGAACGCAACTCTATTTCTTGTGCCATTGGTGGCACTACACCTTCGCTTTTAGGTCATATTTTATATGACACAAGTTTATTTCTGTTCTCTTTTGACCCTCATAACCTTGTGAGCCAAGTAGAGTACGTGTAAGGTATAGTGCTGAAACTGAAAAACTGGTCAGATGAGCCCAAAGACATATGGCTCGTTAGTGGTTTGAGGATAGCAGGAGGGAACCAAGCCAGATTCTCTCCACTCCCAGAAGGCCCTATTTTCTGCAAATTTTATTATTATTATTTTTACCACCACTTTAAAATTATTCTGTCCTGCACTTAATTGATCTTCCAGAGAACTTGTGCCCTTCCCAACAGCACCTCTATTTCCCAGTCTCCCTAGCCTTATAGTCTTGGAATTGGCCTTCTTTCCCTTTTGCCTTCACTTTCCACAGTCCACAGAGCACAGCTGCCACTGGTGTGTGTGTGTGTGTGTGTGTGTGTGTGTGTGTGTGTGTGTGTGTGTGTGTGTGTGTGTGTGTGTGTGTGTGTGTGTGCCTGCCTGCATCTGCATATATGCACACCCACCCCTACTCTCCATTGCTACTACTCAAATCCAAGGACTTAGTGCCTAGATTACTGACATAAACTTGAATTTGGCCTTCCTCTTGCTATAGGCTCTTTCCTCTCTGGGACATTGTGCTGTCACATGGGGTATCCTCTTTAAAAAGAGTTTTCTTTTGCTCATTCTCATGCCCACTAATTTTCGTCTCTATTTCCTACCACATCAGCCTGGCTTGTGAAACCTGTTATAAATGAGGCCTCATTCCACCTTGAGAGGTAAGGAGTTTTGTGGTGTAACTTGCTTGGGTATGTCTGATTGCTGCCCCAGTACTTACTAGCTATACACCTCTTATGTTGGTAGTAGATTCAGTCAGCATCCAAAACAGTGCACTGAAGGATGTTTAATAGCATCCATTGCCATTACCCACAAGTTGCCAGTAGCATTCCTTCCGACCCCGCCAAGCTATGATAATCAGTAAAGGTCTTCAGACATTGCAAAATGTCTCTTGAGGGTGAATTTATTCACTGTGTTAAATAACCTAACTTTAAATGTAATAACTGACTCAAAGTAAATATACAGTACATGTTTATTAATATTACTATTGCTTTTATTTTCAATATTTAAATATAGTTCTACTCTTCAACGTATAACAACACCAATTTCACAGGATAGCCATGAAATTGAATTCAATTTATATAATGGCAAAGCCCTTAGCACAGATCTGGGCACATTATAAATACTGAATAAATGGCAACCATCATTATCATTATTCATATCTCCCACAATGCCTAGCACATGTTGGGCATACAATAGATGCTTAGTAAAAAAAAATGTGTTAGTGATTACTGGAAGTAAATCATATTGTAGTTTTTCTTTTTCCTTTTTATTCTTGCTGAGAAATTGTCTCCTCTGCTATTACCCAGTGTTCTCTATTCTCCTCTGCATCGTGGATTTAAAAATAGAAAAGAAAATTCTTAGAACAGCTTAATCTTATTTTTTTGTACTGCTTATAAAAGGAAAGAATAGCTCCTAAAGTGGGGCTGGTAGGGAGATACAAAGCACATAATTTGATGCAGATCAAAAGAATTTCTCGTGTTTTCAACTAATAAAAATCTTATATCAGTGGGAGTCTTTAGGGTTGCAAAATCACAAATATAAAGTTCCTTCCTCAAAGGCTGGCCCCTGAACTTCTGGATAAGATACGTGCTCATCTCCTCCGTGCAGAGAATGTCTACAGGGCTACATATGCCCATGAGGAAGGCGATAGTGAGGACGGTGACATGTCTGGGGGCTCTTGCTATGGGCTAACAAGTGCTCCGCGTGTTTGCTTAGATTATCATGAGGGTTTCAGGTGACCCCAGCTGGAAAACACCTACATCATTTCATTTAACACTTGAAGTAAGACTATAATGTCAGTAAATGTCTTGCTCAAGGTCCCACAGCTGCGAAGGGAGAGGCAGTATTTGGATGTGGGAGGTCCAGCTCCAGGTCCCATGCTCGAGGCAGTGCGAGGATATCAAGCTCCGAAGTTGGGCAGCGGAGAGATGCTGTCCCCAGTGATGCCATGACCCAGTGCCGGAGCTACCTTTGCTAGAAATTGGAGCAGTCGTTGGGTTTTCTGCAGTCCTGGCTGCAGAACCAGACTCCATAGTCCTGCTTCCTAGCGGCTGTGAAAGGGCAGAAAATACCTTGTGTTTCTCCAGAAACTCTGGTGTGAGGGTCCACGGGGCGTCTCTGATGACTTCGTCTACATAGCGGCAGTGTCTGAGCGCTTCATATCGTTCTGCTTCATTCATCACAGTGAAGCCTTTGAACTTGTGGGTGAGATCATCACTGCAGACTGAAACAGGCAACACATTACATGCTGCTACCCATCCGGGGTCTTCTCACGTACGCAGCTTCCGTGGCAGGTTAGGGAAGAACACAGTCTCGCTAGGTGCGTGGCATAATCCAGCGCATTTTTGCAAGAACAAAGAATCAGGAGAATAGAATAACCTGAAATCCACCAGGAATTCAGAAGTGTATCTTAGTGCTAATTACAACTACATTTGCCACTGAGGCTTTTATTCAAATTATCCTCCATACTACCTGGCGTGTGGACAATATCTTTTTTTTTTTAATTTCACTATCCTATCCATCAGTGAAAATTACTATTCGGTAAGAAAATTACCAAATGAGCAAAGGAGAGACAGAAGAGGAACATAGAGGCCTGAATTACAGAGGTTTTGAACACCAAGTTCAATTCTTGGGTCCGGCACAGCAGCCTAGTGTTTAAGGTCCTCACCTTGTAACCACTGGGATCCCATATGGGTGCCGGTTCATTTCCCAGTAGCCCTGCTTCCCATCCAGCTCCCTGTTTGTGGCCTGGGAAAGTGGTCAAGGATGGCCCAAAGCCTTGGGATGCTGAACCCGCATGGGAGACACAGAGGAAGCTCCTGGCTTCTGGCTTTGGATTGGTGCAGCTCTGGCCGTTGTGGTCACTTGGGGAGTGAACCAGCAGATGGAAGATCTTCCTCTCTCTCCTCCTCTCTGTATATCTAACTTTCCAATAAGAATAAATAAATCTTGTTTAAAAATTTCCAATTCTTTTACTAGATATTTGTACTTACTAATGCATGTACAATTTATACACACACACATTGATTCTCTGCCCCTTTCTTTCCCTCCTTCTGCTCCCTACCCCCTGATTCCTGGATGAGGCCCAGTCTTGCACATCAGGCTACACAGACAAGAAAACAAAGTCATAAAACTGAAGGTTTGGCCTAGCAGAGCTCTCCCGTCCCATTTTTTTTTTTAAGATTTATTGACTTTTTTTTTTATTGCAAAGTCAAATATACAGAGAGGAGAGACAGAGAGGAACATCTTCCATCCATTGATTCACTCCCCAAGTGACACAACGGCTAGAGCTGAGCCAATCCGAAGCCAGGAACCAGGAGCTTCTTCCCAGTCTCCCATGTGGGTGAAGGGTCCCAAAGCTTTGGGCCATCCTTGACTGCTTTCCCAGGCCACAAGCAGGGAACTGGATAGGAAGCGGGGCTGCCGGGATTAGAACGAGCGACCATATAGGATCCCTGTGTATTCAAGGCAAGGACTTTAACCACTATGCTATTGTGCTGGGCCCAACCTCCTCATATTTTTTTTATCCTTTCTAGATCTCAACTGGAGGGAGGAATGATCCACCGTTATTAGCCTTAGAAATGGTTTTGGTGGCCCAGCATAGAGGCTTACCAAGCTAATTCTCAGCCTGCGTTACTCACATTCCATACAGGCACTGGTTTTTGCCCTGTCTGCCCTACAGCTAATCTAGCTCTGTGCTTAAGGACTGAAAAAACAGAGGAGTTTGGCTCAAGTCCTTGGGACCCCGAACCCATGTGGTAGACCCAGAAGAAACTCCTGGCTTTGGACTGGTCCAGCTCAGGCTGTCGTGACCATGTGGGAGTGAAGAAGTGGATGGAAGATCTCTATCTCCCCTTCTATCAATGATTCTGCCTTTCAGGGGAAAGTAAACAAATCTTTTTTGTTTGTATTTTTTCCCTTTTAAAATTTTATTATTTTCCATGTTACCATTTTGTAAATATAGGATTTTCTGCCTCCCCCTCCACTCCCCTTCCTCTCTCCTTATTTTTCACTCCCACCATTTCCCTCCCCATATTATTACAGTTGTATAGTCCTTTAGTAACAGAAGTTTAATATGCTGCTATTTAAGTATATTATGACATTATAGGTATAGGCAATGGTAGAAATGTAATATCTAATTTTTAAGTTATATTTAACAGTTTCATTGGAAGTCTTACTTTTATTCAGAAGTAGTGATGCCTACTGCAATGTATCTTCACTTCCTGCTATGCTAGTCTCCATCACACACACACACACACACACACACAACACATATATGAGAATATATATACACACACACATATATATCACACATATATGAGAATATATATATATATACACACACACATATTTATTTACCTATGAATCTATTTGCTTTGTATTTTGCATGAAGGTTGGCTTATACCAGAAAGAACATTTGGCATTTGTCCTTTGGGTCTGGCTTATTTCACTGAGCACAACAGTCTCCAGTTGGGACTTGTCCTTTACATCTGTCCTTTAATGGTTGAGTAGTATTCCATGGAGTGGATATACCAGTTTCTTTATGCACTCCTATCTGGACAGGCATCTGGGTTGTTCCCATTTCCTTGCTATTGTGGATTGTGTTTGTATAATTCTAATCATGCAGGCTGTTTTCTTGTGTGCCGATTTCACTTCATTTAGATACAGTCCCAGAGACAGGACAGCTGGGTCCGGCTCTGGATCAATTCTCTTAGCACTCTCCATGCTGACTTCCACAATGGCTGCACTAGTCTGTGCTCTCACCAACAATTGAGTAACTTTTTCCCTACATCTTCACCAGCAGGTGTTGTTAGTAGATTCCTGTACATAGGCCCTTCTCATTAGAGTTAGGTAAAAACTCAGTATGGTTTCTATTTGCATTTCCCTAGTACCCAGGGAGGTTGAGTAGTTTCTTACATGTCTGTTAGCCATTTGCATTTGTTCTTTGGAAAAATGTTTGCTCACTTCCTTTGCCAATTTTTATAAGGATTTTTGGTTTTGTTTTGCTGTTGTTGAGTTTCTGAAGCTCTCTGTAAGTCCTCTATATTGGTTCCCTATGTCTAGTGTGCAAAGATTTTCTCCCATTCTGATGGTTGCCTCTTTGCTTTGTCGATTTTCTTTACAGTACAGAGGCTTCTTAGTTTGATATAGTCCCATTTGTTATTTTGACTTTGACTGTGTGTCCTTACCCATGCCTTTATCTTGTAGAGTGCTTCCTGTGTTTTTCTCTAACAGTTTGATAGTTCTGAGTGCAGATTTAAGTCCTCGATCCATTTACAGCTGATTTTTTTTAAAAAGATTTATTTATTTTTATTGGAAAGGAAGATCAAATGTATGAAGAGAAATAGAGACAGAGAGAAAGATGTTCCATCTGCTGCTTCACTTCACAAATGGCTGCAACAGCTGGAGCTGAGCCATTCCAAAGGATCCAGAACTTCTGGTCTCCCATGTGGGTGTAGAGTCTCAAGACTTTGGGTCATCTGCTGCTTTCCCCAGCCAGAACCAGGGAGCTGGGTGTAAAATGGAGCAGCTGGGACACAAATCAGCATCCGTATGGTATCCTGGCACTTGCAAGGTGAGGATTTAGCCATTCAGCCATTGTGCTGGGACATAGAGCTGGTTTTTGTATAAGGTGGATGGTCTTGTTTCTCACGTCTGCAAGCAGATACCTATTTGTCCCAACAGCATTTGTTGAAGACATCAGCCTTTATCCTGGGCTATTTTCAGTTCTCTTGTTGAAACTTAGTTAGCTGTGCATGTGTGGACTTACTTCTAGGGTTTCTATTCTATTCCATTGATCTTCTCCGTCTCTGTCCCAGTATCAGACGTTTTGATGACCACTGCCCTATAGTATGTTTTGAAACCTTATCCTAAATTGCAGTCCCTCCCTCTGGTACTTCCTGCCATCATAGTCTCCATGGTATCACTGGCTTTTCTTACTGGGATCCTCCTAAAACATAAGCCCTCTGACAGCAGGCACTTGTATCTTTCACTTTTTGATCAGTGACTCCTTGCCTCCAGTAAACTCCAAACAAATATTTGCTGAGTGAATTAATGTTGCTTCATACATTTGAGCATAGATGATCAATGTTCACTGATATTTAAAACGATACATTTGTCCAGAGGTACATTTTGACATACATACACACACAGAAGACACTAAGTAGTCTCTGGATGCATCTGTGTGTGTGCCTGTAAGGGCACAGTTCCTACACTATTGCCTGAACTGTTGTCTATTGCAGCAGTTGAAATGACCAAAACAACCATGATGGTGACTGGAAAACATGGATAATTATCAGAACCACCTAAGGAGCTCGTTCAATATCAAGATGTTCCACTCTGAGATTTCCATTCAGTGGGTCTGTGGTGGGCCTTGGCAGTTCTGATCTGGACAGGCTTCTAGAATGATTCTGCTACATATAACCTTTGCATGGCTCCAGAACATAGAGCAAATACTTCAAGTAAAGAGCCCCCTTGCTCTTTGAACCATCCTTCTAGCCAGAGGAGGGAAGGAAGGAAGGCAGGTAGAGGGGCCACAATGATGATGTATCGATTGACTGACTACATTGACTTTTGACTCCATAGAGAGGAATTATTTGTGGGTGACATCATGCCATTGAAAAATTGATCTAAGACTTCTTTAATGTTCCATTAGGGCCTTATTAAAATGCTACCTCAAGAATCACACAGGGTAGAGATGGAGTTCAGATCCATCAACTTTCTATTTTATTTATATATTAATTTATTTTGGCAACTTTCTATTTTAAACATTGCAAAACTAGTCTGAGCCACATCCTCCCCACCAATGAACCTGCGCCTGAACAATTTGGTATAATTTCTACATGACTGAGATAATGGCCTCCTGACAGACCAAAATGAAAACAAACATCCTGTTTATGCTGATCCAGGGCCCTGTTTTTGTATCCCAGGAGTGACCTCAAGAAGCAGCTGGACATGCTGACCAGTTATTGTCTAAACATTAATTATGCCTGAAACAGCACTGTTGTTCTCGAGTCTCGGCAAATGCACTCTGACAAGCAGATGGCGAGCCCTGAGTGGTAGTGATCTATGCGCCAAGTCCCTGAGCGCCCCAGCAGCTAACCCCTCCTGGCAGCTCATTGTACTCACAGGGGAACACATGGGAGAGAAAACAGCACCTAGGGATGGGACTTGGGAGTCTAAGAAACTTGGATTCTAACCCAGTTCTGGGAAAGTTACTCAAAC